ACTCTGGCGGCGTCCCCAAGTACCCCATACCAGTGGATTTCACCCACTTAAGATTCTATACTAAATCTAAAAGAAAAAAAAAAAAAAAAAAAAAAGCATGTGTATGATGCGTGAGCAAGATGATTAACAAGAAGAGGTGGTAAAGGTGTGAGCAGGCGTAGGGGAGCATCTCCATAAGTGTTTCTGCGCAGGGATTGCCGCGCCTCGGGCGTGATTATCCTGCGGGGTGTACCCTATGAGAAGTGTCCTATGCCAGTTACCGCATGTGAACTTCTTCACGTAGACCATGCTAGCCCCCTACCGCAGTAGAATGTTGCAGCGGTGGGCGCTGCGGACCGGCAAGCGTGTGTTCCACGCCAAGTGCTGGGTGGATGGAAAGAAGCACTTGTACTGCGTAGTTAGAAGACATTTTGGTAACAGTTCCATGGGTGGAGAAGCGAACAAGCAGTCAACCGAAGGAGCCAAGTCAGCATGCCGCATCGGCAGTAGTCTCTCCCCCACGGAAGAAATCACCCAGCATATGGAACACGAATACGGGATTAGCCCCAGTTCTATTGATGTGAGTATCCAACGAAATGGAGAAAACGATTTGTTCAAATTAAGCAAAAGGTGGAGTACCTTTTTCAAGTGTGAAAAGGATTTATACGACGTGATAAATAAATACATAAAGACAAATAAAATGGACTACCATTTGCATGCCTACTTAAAGGGCATTCTGAGTGAAGAGGGAAAGGGAGGGGCAAATGTGAAGGTCAGGCCACTTCAAATGGAAGAACAATTGAAGAACATCTTAACCTACATGATGTCCCTTTTTTATAAACAAATTCAAGACTTCAACATTGTGTCTCACTTAAGTGAGCGTATTATAAATTTACTAAATGGGGGGAACTCCCAAAGTGATGCAAATGGAGATGGCCGACCTACGAATGAGACAAATATTGGCCTGGACAAGGCCACCATTTTAACCACGCTTCAAGTGTACAATTATGTGAACGCCATGAATGATGAATTATTCGATCGGCTGTTTTGTGTACTAAACAAATGTTACGTGCAGGCAGCGCCTCCGGGAAGTCCCCTCATAATCAGCGATGACGAAATTGTACTCATGTTGAAAAGTCTGTATATTCAAAAATTTAAAAATCATATACTATTGGATACTATCGTAAGGTCACTTAGGGATGCCCCTCATTTGAGTCCATACCTTTCGGTGCATTCGTTCCTTTACCTTACGTTGCTGTCCAGGATGGATAATGATTCCCTTTGCAAAGTGAACTCTTCAATATTTTATGGCTCTCAGATGGGGCAACTGGGCCAGCGAGACTTCAGTGCAGATATGTTCACCACAAATGAGAAAGCGATGTGGGAAAATGAAATTGAGCAAATAATATTCAAAGCTCCCCTATCAGCAACAGATTGTATAAAGCTGCTCTACGGATATTTGGTCCTGGGGGAAAATCACATTAACTGGTTTGTGATGCACAAACTCCTTCTGCAATTGCACGAGGAATTGAAAGATGAGGAGAAAATACTCTTGTTAGAGAAAGAAAACAAAAAGGTACTCCAAATGATAACCATCGTGAGAACCTATTTAAGGTACAAAAAAAGAAGGCTGTATGATAATTTGCCCAAGGGTGTGAAGAGGGTATTAAAGAAATTGCAGAGTCTGTATGCAGATGAAGAATATTCAAAAAGGAAGGACAGGAAATTTGTTCAGAAGGTTTCATGGCATTTAATAAAACTGCGCATACCACATGTTAAGAATGGAAATAAAGGTGGGATCCCATTAGACATATTGGAGAAAAATAAAAAGCTGGTATGGATGTGCTTCTCATATCACCAGTACTACATTAGAACGATTGACCTAACGGCGGAGACCTTATTGCAAATGGATTTACTAAAAGCCATGAATTATAAAATTGCTAAAGTGCACTACTATCAATTTTCCCGCATGAAGGCAAGGCGAACTCGTTTCGAGTACATACGGATGTGCCGCTATTATACGCTGCGTGATCGACGCAACTATGACGATGAGTTCGAGGGGTGGAATTTGCCTTACATCAACTGGTACCACAGGAAGAACAAAAACGTCCACGTGTCTAACTACTTCTACGGCTACACCCCCGTCTCGCACATGCAATATTAGCAACAGGCCAGGGGAGGGACCGACATATATGCAAGCATATAAATGTGCGCATGTGAAAGCGAGCAGGTGTATCTGTCTACATGCCTGTAACAAAGGCCGTTCCCCCACTCGGCCCGTAACTCTGATAAATATGGACACGTTGAGGCAAATCACCTCCGCTCAGATATTACTCCCACGTTAATAGGGGAAGGGTCGCGGGATTAACAAAAAAAAAAAAATTTACTTCATTTTATCTTTCATTGAACTTCAAAATGGTACATTTTTTTTTTTTTTTTCTCCCTTTGTTGCTACGTCCAGTGGGAGTTCCACGTTATTACCCGCGCAGGTGTATATTATATACCTACGCATATACATGTGTACATTTCTCTTTCCCCCGTGTACGCCTCTTTTTTTTTTTTCGTTGTCACTTTGTTGCAGCGGACGAAGCAAAGAACTGCGCTCTGAAAAAAAAACGCTGCATGTGCGTTTGCAGAGAAAAATAACGCGTTACCTTCAGCTACTCGTTTGGTAAAAATATTGGTACAACATTATTTCTCGCCACTGGCGCACGCGATCCAGCGCGATTCTCCCGACCCGCTCCCGTCCACGACATCCCCCCAGGTGCGCACGAACGTGTGTACAAGTGGGTACACATAGCCATGCGGGGAAAATCGCGAAAATGGGAAAACCATCGCGCACACCAATTCGACTGCTAACACACGCAATACCTGCCGTAACATTCCTCGCGCGGATGGAAAAAAGAAAAACATCTTCTCTTACACATTTGTGCGCACAGTGAACTGGCCTAAGCAGACATTTGTGTACGCAGTCACTTCTGCGCAATTCAGCATAACGAGTTCTTTGTTTTTTTTTTTTTTTTTTCCCAGTGAGATTGCGCGTTTATTTCAACATTGTGCACTCGTATAAGTACACATGTGCTGTATGCGCTTATGTACGCGCTTATATACGCATATTGACTTTGTGATTTGGGTTGGGACCGCTTACGGTAAAAAAAAAATTGCCTGAGTAATTAGCCCCATTGGAAATTTCCCTCGCCGTACGCGATGCATTTTCATTTTCGCCTATCGGAATGCTCCTTCCGAATACTCCCCAAAACTTTTTTTTTTTTTTTTTTTCCTTTTCTGTGTACCATGTTTTTGGTCGCCCATTTTTAACGATCCCCCGACAGCCTTCTATCAATAGGCGTTAAGCGTGCATCCCTGGCCTCCGTGTAAATTATACCAACGCGCAAAGCATGCGTGTACACGTCCGTACAGTACACATATGGCCTCTGTAAACGAATACACGTGCGTTATTGTATGTTCATGCAAATCCTGCGTAAACTATTGCGCGAACTCTGGCGGCGTCCCCAAGTACCCCATACCAGTGGATTTCACCCACTTAAGATTCTATACTAAATCTAAAAGAAAAAAAAAAAAAAAAAAAAATTCAAATCGGAGAATTTAGGAGTGAAATTCGCGCACGCCTTTTTGTAGTAGTTTTATTTAATGATGTATTAATAATATCTCTGTATAGCATATTCGCCTTGATTCTTTTACAAGAATTATCTTTTTATTTTTATTTTATTTTTTTTTTTTGTGTAATAAAAATTTGCACAAACTGTGTAAGTTTAGCAAATATGAGAGGAGAAAATTCCCCGTAACGAGTAGCCCACCCGAATGGCCCAAACCAGTTGCATAGCTCACAGCTAACTTTTCTCATCAGTAATTATTATATCATGTATAGCGATAACACGAAGTGGCACTAGGAAGAAAAAAAAAAAAAAAAAAAAAGCACTGTGTATTAGCACCCCAGTTTTGATAGCGGGGAAAATCGATCGGGCGCGAAAAGGAGTAAAGCATTAGTGGAGCTGGTAGACGTGGTAGTGCCAGCAGAAGTGGAAGCAGCAGCAGGGGCAGCTCACCCAGCACCCAACTGACCAGCAGTCCTGGTGACACGAACCAAACCGAGAAAAGCAGAAACACACGGAAGGAAATAATTGATGTTCCGGAAGCGCATTATTACACATTTATCCAAGCAGTAAAATATCGAAAATGATTTTTAGGTGAGCGTCATTGTAAAAAAAAAAAAATGAGAATAAATTTCTTCAAAGAAAAAAACAAGATTAAATTGAATAAGAACTTTGACATCGAATCAGACAATGCTTTTTCTAATGCCAACTTGGAATCGAATAACTACCTGACGGCCAACAGTGGTAATAAAGCGGGAGGGAAGCCAGGAAGAGGGCGCAGAGAATAGAAAATAGACCTCATGAGAGAAAAATAGGGGCAGACACGAGTGTACAGAAGAGCGTGTAGATGGAACGAATAATGTTATAAACGAATCAGTCACCACCGTGCAGCCCGCTGTCCCTTCTGCGTAGCGACTGATTCTAGCGCACACCTCATCTGCATGCAAATCTCCTTTACACCCCCCTTCCGCTCAGATAACGAATATGATCATTATGGGTTCGAGAAAAATAAAGATTACTCAACCAAATCTACTACTGATCAAGGGGCACTAGAAAAGCATAAGAAAAAAATTGAAAAAAGGTACACACATCCTAGGGAGAGAAACTAAGACACGTCACAAATAGGCATGGGGTGCGGGGAAGACATGGGTTCTCCACACGTTTTGCGCCAACGCACATGTTTGTGTGCTCCCCTATATATGTACATTTGAGCATTGTAACTGAGATGATCGCCTCCTCTTTCCCCCTTTCGTAGATGGCAGGTCTATTTTACCTTCAAAAGGGACATAAAAAAAAGTTACTACCTAAAAACGCTAATTAGAAAGGGCATTCCGGACAAACTAAGGTTCGTCAAATATGCGACCAGTTGAACAAAAAAAATATATATCATCATGAACAATAATAAAAATAATAAATAAAAGGATAAATGAGTGACTGAATTGAGCGCAGACTTAACAGCCGCTCCGTGCTAATTCCCGCATTCACAGACCGGATATATGGCCGTACCTGTTAGATAGCATGGTGCTGTACCTGAAGTATCCTACCATATATGAAAAGTAAGAAATCCTAGCGAAGGCATAAAAAGGAAAAAAAAGGAAAAAACAAAACACCTAGTGGCTACAACAACAGTGGCAGAGTCTACATTTTTGCGGAATATATGGCTACCCCAGTTGAGCAATTCAAACATGGGATTGACTGAACACATGCTGCATTTGCCCCAATGGTAAACACCACACCCGATTTTTTTTTTTTTTCCTTCCTTTGTTCACTTTGTAGATGCCTAAACAGCGATCTGGAGGCGAAAGTTTTAAGTCAAATTGAGTTGGACATAATCCGGACCTTCCCACATAATAAAAACGTGTGTGTAGTTCTATGTCAACAACAGATTAAATGTGTATATATGATGCATCCTATGAGTGTACCCGGCAGTCTGTTCGCCTTGGGATGATTTTATATTTATTTAAGATTAACCCTCTTACTGCATTTATATATATATATATTTTTTCTGCCTTTTTCTGAAGTACCGGATGAACTCCCCAGGATTAATTCAGCTGAGGAACGTACTGCACGCTTTTGCTGTTTATAAGCCCAAAATAAATTACTGCCAGGTGAGGGGAAGACGCAGGTTTTTCACTGTTGTATTCTAAGCCCTGATGAGGGATCATATTTTTAAACACATATGCGGCGCATAGCTATACTTTTGTGCAAAGAAAATGCCCTGAGCACTTGAACTAGTGGGTGATTGGTTTATTTGACGCTGCACTTTGTATAAATTTCCTCCCCCCCGCTTTATTCTCCCCCGCAGAGCATGAATTTTATCGCCGCCATCGCTTTAATATTTTTAAAGGAAGAATTAGCCTTTTGGTCAATTGTCCAGCTAATCGATTCGGATTATTCCCACGAGAAAATAAACATCAGCGGTTAGCACGTGCGCTGTGCAGTCCACACCATTTTTTATTTGGGAGGCATCCATCACACGTATCTTTACATGTCACCATCCCCTTCACACCGCGCAGATTATTACAACCACGAAATGAGGGGGCTTCGTAGGGACATTATCGTCATAGAAGAATTGATACGAACAAAGTTGCCGGATGTGCACTTGCGTTTAAAGTAGGCCCTTTGTGTGTGCATATAAGCTGCGCAGTATGGCTTCTCTTATATCGTGCATACACATCGTTTGTCCTTCCTCCTTTATGATCGCATCATGTGCCCCATATTCTTTTGCTCACCCCGACAGAGAATTCGATGTTGACCTCTCCTGGATTTGTTCCGAGTGGCTGTTGTGCTTATTTTGCACGGCCTTTCCTGTGAGCATTTGGCAAGGGTCCTTCGCTTACGCGCGAAGCGCTGCGATTCGTCGTTCTACGTGCACACGCGGATGCGCGCGTTCCAGGACTTGTATACCCACAAATCTGTACATATCCTGTCCACACGGGTTCGTATTGCACCCTTTCCCCCCTTGGTCAGATCACCACCACGTTACGCATATGGGACTGCCTCTTCTACGAAGGAGACAAAATTATATTCAGAATCGCATTGGCCTTGTTTAAAATGAATCAGGAAAAATTAAATGAATTAAATTCATTAGAATCCATCCTATTATTATTTAAGGAGACAACCAAAAATATGGTAAGCATGGGAAGCACCGGTGAAGGGGTGACCTTGTAAGGGGCTTATCGTGGGGAACCCCTTTTTTTTTTATCACCAACCTGTTGCGTGACAACTAGAGCGCAGGAAATAGTAGATAAGAGAGCAGCTTTGCGAACGTTTCGCGCGCCCCCATGTGGCTGCCCAACATTGTGTCCACGTCATTTCGCTTCAGACCACTTCACACCGCTTCACACCACCTCCAATCCACGCAGGTCGAATGCGACAAACTGATGTACATCGCTTTCAACGAAATAGGTGTGCTGAAAAAAAAACACATAAAAAAGTTGAGGGCAAAAGCTGAAGGCATCATAAAAAGTGTCGTAACATAAAGACATGTCCACAGTATCCTCACCAGTCCCAATACGCATGAAAGCACAACGTCCTACCGTTACACAGTGCGAGATCTCCCACCATTTGTTAGTTAATTTATTTTACTCTTTATTTTATTTTATTTTTTTTTTTTGTTACGTTATATTTTATTTTATATTTTTTTAAGTAAATTATAAATATATTCGTTTGTTTTTTACAAAATTTTAAAAATAAAAAAAAAAAAAAAATTAAAATGCAAATCAAAGCAAAGCCAACCCAAAGCAACGCAGAACAGAGCGGAGCTATGAGCATTTGCTTTAGTGGCTCTTCAAGTTTTTAAATGTGAGTTTTTTGGAGAACGCGGCTCCTGCTCGCGCTGCGCAGAGGTGGACGACAAAAATTGCACACCTATGTGTACGTGTGTTGTACTGCCATGTGGAAGCCTCCATGCAATCATCTACCCCTCCGGAAACTGTCTCATCCGGGGTATTACATACGTGCAAAGTTTTTGTCGAGCCTGTTTTCTTCCCCAATGTGCATGGACAAACTTCTCTTGCGAACAAGCAACATCGTAACATACCCTCTGAACATATCTACATATACCCTTATATGCATACACGTCCATTAGCTGTTCTCAAGCGAACCGCATAAGCTACACATAGAATAAAAAGCATGTCCACCGTTTACCCCTCTCTTTGCGCGTCCATTGCGCAATTAACGCCGTGGCGGAAAACGAATATTCAATTAAAATAAAACAGTGCAAGTCTTGTCTGTGTATTTAAAATTTAACAAAAAAAACAAAAATGATGTCACGAAAAAAAAGGAAAAAAATTGGAGAGAAAGCAAATACTTACTGCGGCTTAGCCAGTTGGCAATGGCGTTACCAGTATGATGGTCGTGATCATCACATCATCTTTAAGGTTATCGTTATATGGTTACGAATTAAAGCGGGAAGGGGTGGTGAATAGAAACAAATTAGTGGCCTTCTTTACTGTTCTTACCAAGGCTCGCAACTTGATGATGCCTCTAAGCGAATAGGCACACGTTAGTACTACATGCGTGTGTGCCTGTGTGTACGTGACATATATATATGCACGCTTCACAAATGATTCAAGTCGACGGAACACAATTAGCAAGTTCGCGTCACGGTAAACAAAACAATCGGAGGGATGATGGCTAACAGGGCTAAGCAGGCATAGGAAGCTATCTTCATGTGGTCATACCAGGACGGCTTGTTTTCCATTTGAGCGTTGTAGAGTATGCCCATGGATATGCCTGAGGGGAAGGAATAATAATAAGACGCGTTATAAGTATACAAAGCTGCGCATCTGTGGGGGAGTGATGCGTGTTCACATAAACACGTTCACACGAGAGGGTAAGTCCCACGTGAAAAGACTCATCCTGCGCGAAATAACGCACTGACTGTGGGGTTACCCCCTTCTCTTGAAGGGTCCCCGGGATAGGACAAGCACAAAAACTTACCTGAGAGCAATCCTCCCAAATGACCAACATGATCAATGTTCGACCCGTTAAATGTAAAATAGTAAAAAAAAGAAATTAAAGAAAAAAATATTATGTTAAAAACGACTCTCTCTCTATGCCTAATAACATGCCATAGTAGTATTAATTCAGATGTTACAACTCCCAGTAATCCCATGCCTGAGGTGCTGGCGCCAACTTTGATGGTGCAGTAAGTAATAGACGAGGACAACAGGTTTCCATATATGCCTGTCAAGAAATAAAGAATCATAACCTTCACAATGCCGTAATTTTTCTCCAGTGTAAATCCCATTCTTAACTGGAAGAACACATTAAAAAATGTGTGAAATATGTTCGCATGCAAAAATATGGGCAGAATCAATCTGTGGATTTCTCCTTGCTTTATCCTGGAGCCCACATTAGCCCCTAACGTTATCAGGAAGGAGTCTACAAAAAAAAAAAAAAAAAAAAAGGGAATAAAAATACAAACGTGTGAGAGGTTTCTTCGTTTGTTCATCATTATTTTATTATTATTATTTTTTTTTTTCTTATCATGCCATTGGGCCTCTTTTTCAGAGCGCACACTTGGTCAGGTTTTTATCCTGCGAGAAAGTTTCTCCCTCTGTATGGGGCATGCCCCCTCTGTCCCTCTTTTACTCGCTGATAAAATATCCTCTTGCGTGCCACTTACTAGAGGGAGTCATAAAATCGGCGGGCTTTATACTAATTGATATTATAAAAACAATTATTTGTATGATGGACACAGCCATGATAAAGCTCTTCCAGGTAAAGTGCGGAAATATGAGGTTTACTACATCAATGGGTTTCGATCTTTGTATGAAACTACTCTGGGACTCATAGTACTCTGGTGCTTGTAGGGGTGCAGGAAAAAAGTATTTATATGTATTTGGTGCGTACATACGTATGGTGGGCGTAGTGCAGAGAAGGCGGTTCAAATTAGCGTTCCACGGAATGGCGACAGTTCTACGCGTTCACAGGCGAGATGAATGTGTGCAGTGAAAGGCAATGTATGTGCTCCCCCTTCTCTCTTACTTCTGTTGAAGGGGAGGTTTTCCCCGTAGTCGTCCCTGTACTCCGCTAGGGTGTGGATGTTGCTCATGTTGGAACTCGAACGTTAATGTGGTAATATTGCAGGGGGAAATAACAGCGAACGCGGGATGTGCGCACTCGTCTTATCTATCCCTATATATAACGAAACACAAAGCCCGTGGTCACGATTTAGGAAGCACTAATAATCATGCAACCATTTAATCACGTAATCACCTAACGACTTGACCGCGTAAGTGTACCAGAGCGGGCTGCACTTGCTGCGAGAAGAAGGGTTTGTGCATCGCCTTAACGGTTAAAGCAGCACCTGCACGGTATGTTATGGTGTGTAAGAGGAAGGCGGACTGAGAAGGGCGTGTAAGGAGGTGTACACAAACATATATTCATGAAATGATGCGGACCAAAACAAAGGCAAGCATGCTTCGTTGCAAGAAGCGGAATTCTCTTTACCATAAATGCAGGCAAATCAAAATATTCGCGTAATTTTGGATGAATTTATCGGCACATGCGCGTGGAGGGAAAAAAAAAAAAAAAAAAAAAAAAGAGCATGTATATATATATAATTATAAATTGTACGCAAATATGAACATATACATGCACATTAATTAAGCACAACAAAACGAAGGAAAAAACTTCTAAATAGCCTCATTAATGTGATCTATTTGTGTGTACTTATAAACCACACATGTGTATATTGTTTATAATCCCTCGCTCGCATGCGTATGGCACGCGGCCATTTTTTTTAAATCCTTTGTCGTCAAAAAGGGGGGGAACGAGCGGGGAGTTCGAGCTTCCTTGTGCGTGTTTGCCAGTATAGAAGAATATATTTGCAGGTGAAAAGGCTGCAAAGTGCGTGAAAAGGTTTTCCCTGTTTACTGTGGAAATAAAATGGATTAAAAGGTGAAAAGTGCCATGTGCGTGGTTTTTTACTTGCTATTTTTTTTTTTTTTTTTTGCTCACTTTTTGCGCATTTTTCTGCCCCCCTTCACGTTCGCTGCGATCAATTATTCTTCCTCTGATGTAGTTGCAAATGAGAACATTTGTACACGACGAGACAATCCACTTATGGGCACATAAAAGTACAACACAACGACTTATAGAGGAAATGAATGCTTTCGATTTATTCTTTAAAATTGGCACAAGTTTTATATTTGCTTACACCTGTTTTTTTTTTTTTTTGTTGTTTTTTTTTTTTCAAGCTATTTTTTCCAGCCAAGCTTTGTTCATATGAAAAACAAAATAAATAATAAAAATAGCACAAAAATGGGTGAAAAAAAAGAGCGCAAAAAAGTGAAGAACAGGACTGGACTGTTGTTTTCAAGTTGGCATATGTTGAAACCAAGCATTGATGTGCAGCCCTCCTGAAATGCTTTCCTCTTGTTTTGCTTTTTCCAATTTGTCCTTTTCGCCGTTTTCGCAAAATCGTGCCAACGGCTATGTTAAAAAGGAACACAAAAAAAGGGGGAAATTTGACAAACACGGGCATAGCAGAGAAGACGGGGAAAAAAAATTATGACCAAGAAGACTTGGTCAAATGAATGAAATTAAAATTCGCTGACGTGAGCGCAAGTGCCACAATTCCGCCAAGGGAATAAGCATATGGTCTACATTTTTTCTTCTCCTTTTTTTATGTTTTCCTTCACTCGTTGTACAAAAGGAAGACCATCACCGTGACAAAAATAAAATCGTTGACGTACTTCGCCGAAATGTAGTTATCTGTTTCAACGTTCCAGAGGGACTTGGAGGCAACGTGAATCTGTATAAGTGAAAAGAATGGGCGAAGGGTTAACGGTGTAAACATTTTCATTTTTTTTTTTTCCCTGTATGTACATTTAACGCGAGGCCACTGCTGTTGGGACTTCACGTTGTGCAGCGCATTTCCATTACGGAGTAGGAAAAGCTGCAATGGTGTCTACGCCCCATGTGTGTACAATGGGAGAAACCTTTCCCGATTATTTGCCCTTTTCCTCCGTACCCCCTGCTTCTTGTTCTCCCCGATAATTGCTTGGACGACAATTTTGTGTCGCTCATTGACGTAGGGCTTTATGAACTGCTGCACTTCGTCCACCAGGTTGATGGCCATTTTGTCGTAATTGCTTTTGATGGGAGGGTTTTTTTCAAAGTAATTTTCCTGCTTGTCTTCGTTCTCGTTGGAGGAGTCA